AGAATTCTCCCATTTTTATTTTTGTAGTTTTTTTTTTTCAACATCTTTATTTCCAACAAAGCAAGCAACAAGAATTAGTGTTGGAAGTTACTGGAATAGCAAAGATAAAGTTTTTAGAGCAAGATAACGATTATTAGACAATTTAAAAGCTAGCATATTATATGAATTAAAAAAACAAGATGAAGGGAGCAACATTCAAAGAACTGATGTTTCAGGAAAAAGACAAATAAGAATTTTTGGAGCACTTAGGAGCAGTCAGAGTAAAACAATTTAAATGACAAGTAAAACGAGAATAAATTTTATTAGATAGCATAAGTGACAGTAGAAACCAACATTTTGGTACATTGGACTCAAAATACTACATACTAGTGGAACTTCTAAAAGCCTAGCAGCTATGATAAAGGAAACATTGTTAGAGTATAATGTTGTTGATAATATCCCTTATAATATGCAACACCTGCTCTGGCAATACTGATTTGTAAAATTAATATTAATATTTATTTATAAATATGTTACATTTTGTTTTAGACGGAACTTATAATGGTTCTGATGGAAAAAAAATTTACAAACTATTTAAAGAACAATTTATTAGACATGTTCTGTATTATGGGTGATAGAGACATGTTCTGTATTATGGGTGATAGAGACATGTTCTGTATTATGAGTGTAAAGCTCAAAATACAGAGCATGTCTTTTAAAGCTTGTTTTAAAAAATGGCAATTTTCTATTTACCAACACCATCAAAATCATCTGCTATAACTGATTTTAAATTTATAACTAAAAGATAAGTATCCACAATTAAAAGAATCATGTAATGTCCTGCATAAAACTCCTCATCCTCCCCCTACTGTTGAAACTTGGAGAGGTGATTTTAGACTACTGGCTAGGTTTGTTTAATTAAATTTTTTTTTTTTTCATCATCAATGATATGTATGCATTATCTTGGCGGGAGTAAATGAGTGCAAGAGCGGAGAAGAGCTCTCCTATAACCAACATAGCGAGCCATGCAAGCTGCTCCTCTAAACTGCTTTTTACGAGAGCTTTTGGTTTTTGCACAAGCTATCTGTTTATTTTTATAAAAATTACTAATTAAATACAAAATTTGGTTTTATACTTGTTACTAGCATATGTTTGTAACGTTAACGTTACAATAATATACATATAACAAGCGTCATTTATTGTATCATGAAAAAAATTTTATCCAATGAATTAATATATTTTGTCTTTGCCTATTTAATTTTAGTTACAAGGATAATTAAACTTTTGAGAGAAAAATACTTTTGCAAGAGATGTAAATTGCTCCCTTTTTAGGGGAGTGTGGACAAAAGAGCTAAAGCTCTCGCTTCCTGCCAAGGTCTGCATTATATATCAATATTGTGTATGTATTTTTCTCTTCATGTTAAGCATTGCCTTCAGGTATTACTTGAATAAGAATATTCTAACCAAACTGGAGCTACCAACTAAATTACTATGTTCTCACTCAGCAAGATGGAACAGCAAAGCAATTTATATCTTACTTTCCAAATTTGTATCTTACTTTTCAAACCCCAAAGAAAGGAAATCATTGAAAGAAATAGCTATGTTTATTAGCTGTTCTTGGTTACATGCATGGTTTAAAACCATGGGGTTTAAAACCATGGCTCGCCTAATTGGGTTCCATGGAGGAACCCAATTAGGCTAGCCTAAAAAAAAGCCGTATTGGCCTGCATTACAGCCCAAGGAGCTCTAACCAGATATATTCTTGGCGCTGAAGTCACATTAAAAAATGTGCATAGAACGAATGAGGTTGCTGAGAGAGGACTCCGAGCTATGGAAATCTGAGATTAAGTCTGATGATGCTCTTGAGAAACTTTTCTATACTGAAATGTTTATTAAAATGTCTAATCAACAATAGTCTAATTTTTCAAACATTTTATTATAACTATAGTTTGTACAATAAAAAAATAAATAAATATAGGATTTTTGTCTTATTTCAATAAAGAAACTTTTTTTTGACCTAATAAAATTTTTTTTAAATTTAAACGCTTTTTATTAAATTGTGTTTTGGACACAATCAATCATGTTTTAGAAAAAGTTTCACAAAGTATTTAAACAAAAATTATTATAGTATCAACCTAGTGTCCATTATAGTATTTATAGAAAAGAGAAGCAATATTACAACAAAATGATAATGGTTGGAGGTTAGCTGCAAGAACAGGTCCAACTATGTTTACAATGTGCTTTTGCACTTTGTCTATAAGAGAAAGGGCATCATTGGAAGATTTGCCTCAGATATGGCTACAGTATTCCATACAAAGACAAATTTGAGATTTATAGAGATAAAGAATAGAATCCAAAGTAAGAAAGAGGCAAGCACAATTAAAAAAATGCAACTAAAGCAAATGATAATTTTGCAATCAATTTGATATATGGTTTCAAAGCAAGATCAGAAGTAAAAGTTAATTCTAGAAGATGAATGGTAGATGACTCATCAAGTATATTACCATTTATAAATATAGGAAGATTTAGATTATTGCAACAAAAATTAGCTGAAAAAAGTTTAGTTTTATCTAAGTTCACCAGCCACTGAGAGCCCCATACTGAAGCAGAAGTGAGATCTTTTTCAAGCTCAAATGCTGCCTCCAAGCAATCAGAGAGTGTTTGCTCCTTATCAAGACAGAAAAAAATTGTAGTATCATCAGCAAACAATGCCACCATAGATGTGAGAATTTCTGGGAGATTTTTAATTTAAATTAAAAAGTGTACAGAAACAAGAATAGAATCATGAGGAACCCCTGATGTTACAGAAAATGAAGAAGAGTGCTGTCCATTAAGGATAAATTTTACATCGGTAAAAACTATGAGAAATTACGATCGGTAAAAAAGGATTCAATAACCTTAAAGATCGCTTTTCGTGTTCCGACAACTGCTCATAATCACTCAGTATTGTTTGTAAAAATATGTTACCTACTTGGTAACTTATACTTTAAAAACAAATATTTTTGATTAAACAGTAAGACAAAAATCTAATTTAAGCATATATATATATATATATATATATATATATATATATATATATATATATATATTCATATATATATATATATATATATATATATATATATATATATATATATATATATATATATATATATATATATATATATATATATATATATATATATATATATATATATATATATATATAGTATATATATATATATATATATATATATATATATATATATATATATATATATATATATATATATATATATATATATATATATATATATATATATATATATATATATATATATATAAATATATATATATATATATATATATATATATATATATATACATATATATATATATATATATATATATAAATATATATATATATATATATATATATATATATATATATATATATATGAATATATATATATGAATATATATATATATATATATATATATATATATATATATATATATATATATATATATATATATATATATATATATATGACTAGATCGCCTTAAAGTCGCCAAATCGTGTAAAAAATTTCCACGGAAAGTCGACTTGAGTGGAAAGTCGACAAAATTGAGTCGACCTAACGTTTTTCATCTTAGTTTTATCAAATTCAGTCTTACATATAAGTTTTTTTTTCTATTTCAATGAAATATAGTAGTTTTTGATTAAAAATACAAATTTGTTTTTTTTTAACTGCCGTCGATGAGTATTTTTTTAAATATTTCATTTTAAGCTTATATATGTAAATAAATTCAAAATATCGACGTAAGGTCGACGGCACTTAATATCTTGAAAATTATGAAGTATAACTGTATATATCATGCTGTTATGGAGTTAAAAATGTTTTCTCTGTCACTCAGTTAAAGTTTTGAGAGTTTATTAACGGATATCATTGCAAATACAACATATATATGAAATATAGGAGATATACAGTTTTATTTTAAGTCATTTCCATTTTTCTCGTATTTCAAACGAATTTCCTTACCATGCGGAGTCGCTTTTCCCGGAAACTTGTTGTTTTTTATGAATGTTTTTGTTTTGATTTCTTTATTTTGAAAATTTTGTATGTTTATATTGTTTGTTTATATTGTAGCTGAACCTTTTTATTTTTTTACACTAACTTTAAGAATCTTATTTTAAAACTTTTTTCTATTTTTCGAAATATTTAAGTGCTTTTATGAAGGAAATATTATTGCTATATAGTAAACTAGACAACCTATTAGAAGTCTAATATACTACTAGTGTATTTGACTTCTAATATGCGTTCAGATTAGTACTGCTAGTATTACTAGCAGTATTAATCTTTATGGTACAGGTATTATAGTTTAGGCAGGAATAACTATAAAGAGTTTTTGACTGTTAACAGTCTTAAACTCTATAAAGTTGTTCCTGCCTAAACTATAACGCCTGTATCATACAGAATAATACTATCTATAACTAATGTCTAATAACTAATAATTACTAGTAATATACAAGTGTCTTATAATTAGTTATTAGACACATTAGTATAGTAATTAGATCTATATATTATAAGATAGTTATTATTACTTATTTAACAGTTGACAAGATAGTTTTGTTCGCCATATTGTAGTGGATAAAACACTCTTATATTTGTGATCTACAATGGTTTAGTTAGGAGAATGCATGACTACTGGTATAGAATAGAATACAAGATAGAAAACAAGACTAAATAGAAAGCAAGACTAACTAGGAAATAGGAAATAACGCATTCACCTTCCTTTATTAAAATAAGAAACTATGATTGTATCAAGTTAACTATATTTTATGGTAGGCAAGTTAGCATACCTGCAAGACTTACAAGTAAAGAACATAAAAATGCCTTGAACAATATATGATTAAATGAACAAAGAATAAAAAATGCATTATCTGAAAATCAATTAGAATGTAGAATGAAGATTAATTATCAGTCTGGAAGTGGGTTTAGTTGTTCCTCTCCTGTCTTAATTCCTAGAGATATAATTAAAGTAAAGTTGTTAGGTTTGGCTGATATTAGTAGTCAGGTTGGAGTTTCAGCAAAAACGCTATTTATTCTAGAACACGATTTTTACAAAAATTCTGTTTTGAATAAAATATTCTAAAAATATAATAAGGCAACTTAACGTGATCTTGTACAAATAATTGCCATCGCCTTGCTACACTAATAGCTGATTATACGGTTTCGGATGCTGAAATGACTATCAAACTTCAGCAGCTTACTATCTTTTTTATAGGGAAAGTGTCTTGGAGCTTTTTATCAAAACTCCTGTATATATATAAAGATATTTTGATTTGTTTGAATAGTTTTTAAAGTAGCCATTTTTATTTTTTGCAAGAAATATTGTTATGAGAAAAACAAAAGAACACAATAAAATTTACTAAAGTTTTTTTAACAAGATGTAAAGCAAGACTTTTAAAAGCAATTAAAGTTAAGAGTAGCACTGCAAGCAGTTTAAATGAATTAGGTATATATCTTATTTACTACTTAATTTTTTTTTTTGCATGTTTTTATATGTTATAAATAAAACAAATAAGTTTAAAAAACAATTAAAGTTTTATTTGTATATCAAGTTATTTTTTATATGACTATTTTTAATTGATAATTAAATAACTTTTATCAATATTCTGTACTCAAGTTTAAAAAAAATACAAATGAAAACTTTTTCTACTGAATATGAAAGCAGTTCAAGCAAATTGTAGTTCCATTTTCAAACTAATGATTATCAAATAAATAAAACTGAAAAAAGTTCTGTCTCAGTCTCAAGTTTTATAGCAAAGTATACACCAGATAATCTGACTCTATTTATATATTACAACTTTTTTTTTTTATTTTGAAGATTTTTTTTAAATGTTAATGATCACATTAGACTATGAAAAAAAAATTGTTATTTAAGGTTATATTACTTTAGGGATTAAATTGAAAGTTTTCTTCAATAGCAGCTAAAATGGTGGTGCAAAGTGGGCTGTGCTTTCAATACAAGAGTAGAAAAAAATAGCCTACATAATAATCAAATAAGTTATTTATTTTATTTTACCTTATTAATAAACTTAAATTGGCTCCTCCACTTCAAATATAGTTCCTCTAATATAGTGAATAATACTTATATATGCACTGTAAGCAAATACTTAAATAATTATTTTGTGTATAACTATGGAGCAAATTTTGACAATTCAACTTTTAATATATGTGTTTTTTTTTTTTTTAATTTTTATTTTATTGTATCAAAAGTATGTTTAGACATGAGAGCAAGGAGATGGGTAAAATTTAAGAGCATTTGAGAAAGTTCTACATATGTGAAAACTTTTGAGTCTTGTGAGTAGCTATAAAAGTTCTATAAATCTTATTTAAGTCGTAGGTATAATCAAAAGGACAATATAAGTGAGAGAGTGTTTTTTATAAAGATTTCTGAAGTATGTTAGTTTAATCACAGGGTATCACTTAATGCATTTACTTGGATACCCTGATTAGGTATAATAATATTGTATTAAAAAGATTTATCTTTTTAATACAATATTGTGGTTAATTTTTATCAAATAAGATGGAATAAAACAAAAAATTAAGGGTAAATGTTAAAACAATCTATAAACTTTTTTAAATTTATATCACTTGTCACAAGGTGCTGATTTATTCTTCTTTTACTTTTGATTTGAGTAGATAACTTTGTATCTTTATTTCAAATTACAGCACATATCTTTTCTATTTCAGGTCGACAAGATATTATTAAGTTTGGATCAAAATACAGATCTAGCCCAGACACTGTTGAAAACAAAATCATTAACGAAATAGCATAAAAGATGCGAACCTTTTCCGAAGTTCTAACGACATTAAAACTTATTTTTTTAAAGTTAATTTAAAACAGTTCCGAATAAAATTTATACTTTGAAGTAATGTTTTTTCAATTAACTTTTTCCCTTAAAGTTTCATTTATAAAACCTTTTAATTAATTTTGTGAACCACGGCGATACCAGTGACACAAAAATACACACTTTTTTTCACCTCGGCCTGTGTATTTATAAGAATTGTTATCCCGCGGGGAACGCATTTTTTTATTGTCGACTTTAAGGAGATCTAATAAAAAAAAAAGTTAAAGTCAACTTTTAATAAAAAAAAATTTCTCGAAAACGTTAAGTCGACTTGACATTGAAAATTGAAGAAAAGTTTTAAAATATTTAATTCCCAATTGAACAAGAAGCCATTTCATTAATTTTTGAAAAAAAAAAATTTTAATTGATAAAGTTATACTGATTTTTGAGGCGTCGACTTTCAGCGGGTATTTTATTGCTGTCGACTCAAAGTTGATCTAGTGGTATATATATATATATATATATATATATATATATATATATATATATATATATATATATATATATATATATATACACTGCGACCATTTTCTATAGGCGCATGTGGATTATGTCTTTAAAACGTACTTAACTTTATTCTTATAGTGTATTTCAATAAATTATAAATAAAGTATCAAAAAATAATGAAAATTATCAAAAAATAGTATCAAATTTGAAAAGAGGTCAATCATAAATGAATTAAATTCAAAAGATGGCTTACTATTTTCTTTAGACGCAGTTCACATTTTTTAACTAAACTATCAAAAAAAAAATGTTTTTATCACATTTTTAGTACTCAATTGGACTTCCTTTGCGCTCAATTACTTGATAAATTCGTTTTGGCATACTTCCCACCAGATTTTCCAGCACTTTTGGCTCCATATCCTCCCAGCATTCTGATACCGCTACTTTTAGCTCTGCTACAGAGTTATATTGCTTCTGGTCAGCATATATACGCCTTACAATGATTCCCCAGATATTTTCAACAGGATTCAAATCTGGACTGCAAGCAGGCCACCACATTTGCTCAATTTTTTTAGCTTCAAAACAAGCTTTAGTCTCGCTACTAGTGTGAATGCTGGCGTTGTCTTGTTGGAAAACAAACTTTTTGCTTCGATATTTGTTTTTAAATGGAATCAAACATGATTTTAGCGCATCAATGTATTCAGAACTTTTCATTTTGCAAGATGTAAATGCTAAATTTAACTTTGCTGTTGCACAAAACCCAAGCCAAACCATCAAAGATCTACCACTGAAATTCCTTGTTGAAAAATATTTAGGTTCTCTCCTCAAATCACGCCAGTAGCCACTAAAACCATCAGGCCCATCAAGATTAAACTTTTTCTCGTCCGAAAAAATCACCTGGTATTGAAAACAAAAATATTCAGCTATTTAGACATCTTACGTATTCATGAGAATTTAATCTAAAATTTCCAATCGCGTCCCATGTTTTCGCGGGCGAATTCCATCTGTTTCTGTTTGTGAACGGGCTTCAAACTTGGTGCTTTATTCATTTTTGATCGTACAATGTGTGGGCTGTCTTTAAGAACTTTCCTAATTGTCTCTATGCAAACATTTAAACCCAAATCTGACTTAATTGTTTTCAAACTTTTTGATGAACTTGATGCGAGTTGAACAATTCTGCGTTTTTCACGACTTGAAACCTTAGATTTCTTTGGTTTTCTCTTGATTGTTGCATAATCTGCTGGACTTTCCAAGAAATTACAGATAACGTGATCTGATCTCTTCAATCTTCTACCAATTTCTCAATTTGGAATTTTTTCTCGATGAAAAGCCAATATTTGACCTTTTTCAATATCGGTAAGTACCTTTCCTTTCGGCATTTGGTTTAGTTCAACTTAATTTCGACTCACAAAACAAAAAATACCACAGAATATAAGAAATTTGCGAAAAAACTCGTAAAAACTTCAGTGCGTCTATAGAAAATTGCCACGTGAATATTAAAAATTACATTATTTTAATATAATCAAGACAATTAATAATCAGATGCATAATGGATATATATACAGATATATATATATATATATATATATATATATATATATATATATATATATATATATATATATATATATATATATAATTAAATGATAAAATACCTCGTTTTTGCGGTTTACCAGGATTTGAGGTGCCTTTAAAAAAAAAATTTAGAATTATTAAAAGCCTAAAAACTTTTTTTGATCATATTTTTTCCTATTTATAAATGTTTAACAAATCACATGAATAAAACAACCTGAAACACGGCGAGGAGATTTATTGATGGTGGATTGTGTTGATAAAATTGGTAAAGTACGATTTGGGCTTTTTCCTTCCTAATAAAATAAATTGGTTAAATTTTTTAAAATAAAAAGTTCAAAGGTATCTCAAACTCCAATATGGTAAACATAGAAGTAAACATAAATATAGAAAAAAAAAGTTTTTGACTTCGTGAAAATCCCGGAAATTATTTTCTATGAAAATCTAGGAACATTATTTTCATATAAAAACCAGAAAATTCCAGAAAATTATACGGTCAACAATTTGACGAAGTTATGTGGGTAAATTCTGGAATGATGGTAATAGGATAAAGTAAAAATAAACTACTAAACCAAATATAGTATCTCAGTTTTACCATAAATAATCTGCATAGCGTAATAATTTACTTACTTTTTAAATATAAAATGTCAGACAATTATTCAGAAATTAAAACTTTTTATTCTTATAACTTAATGCTGCAAAATATTTGTCAGCTTTTCGTTTTCTGCACTTTGTTGCATGATCATTAATAAATTTTTTAACTGTTTGCATTGTTCATGTGAGGTAATCTTTTTTTTCACATTGAATTTATATTATAAAAATGCTCTTCAACTTTTCTGTTTTTCCGATAAAATTTAATTTTTTTTTATTAGCGATTCTTTGCAGTTTGCAAATGAGCACAGATGTTTTTGTTAATTGGTTCATGTAATATATCTCGTCTTTTAAAGTTCCCTAGTGCTGTGGTCTTGTTTGATACTTAACTGAAGCTATAGCTGAGTACATTGAAATAAAAGAAGATTTATCTTTTTGTTAACTATGGCATTCATCATGCTAAATGATTACTCAACGTGAGGATTACTGAATATACTTAGATATGCCTTGAAAAATTTACTAAGCTCTAAATATTTTTTACACTACACAAAAATTTGCCCACCAATAGTTAAGTGGAATGACTAAACTGCAAGTGGTGTTACTTGCAATTTAATGATAAACGGCTATGACTTACATTATAGTCGTATCTATTGTTAACAATAATTATTATTGAATGAATTAAAAATTAAAAAAATTGTTATGGAAATTGATATCTTGAAAATTTCAATTATAGAAAACATATTTGTTTAAATGCAAACGTTGTTGTATTTAAAATTTCATATAATTTTTTTGAAATTAATAACAAAAACCATCCAGAAATTTCTGGAAAATTAAAGAAGTCTGGGATATCTCTGAAAAAACTCATCTATAGTTATTTTTGTCCTACCATGAAGTCTTTAAAATACATGCTGCAATCTGCATACCTAATTTTAAGAAGTTTAAGTTTGTGACACCACGGTAGACAACAACGAAAAAATATATAATTAAACAAAGTTTTGCATTTTCTATTTTTATTTAAAAAGAACATTTAAGTATTAATTTTTTACGGACAATCAATAAAACAAAATTATTTGTATTAAAAATTAAACTTCTATTGATGAGTGTTTTTAAATATTTTTTAGAAACATAAACTTTTATTTTAATTGTTTAAAAATTTAAGAAAAAGTAAATAAAAAGTCATAAAAACAAAAAAATATAAATATAAATAAGTCAAATAAAAAAAATTTCTAGAGTTTAACATTTCTAAGAGTTTAACATTTAATTAGAGTTTAACAAATTTTAGGGTTTAACATTTCGCAGAATTTAAAAATAATCATCTATAAATTTCTGTAAAAGTCATAAAAAAAATTTTAAGAAAAAAAATTCAAAGGAATCATTAAGTCTACAGATTGCAGCGATATTTCAAATACTTCAGGACAAAAATGGTGTACACAAAGCATTGTCTAAACTGGCAAGGTTAAATTTTTCTTGCTATAAATTATTTATTTTATTATATTTTAAAAAATTTACAACCAATCTTTATAATCCAAAATAGGACTATGCATAATGCAATACAGTACAATCTACACACTGCTGCAGATAAACATGAACAAACATTTCAATGGAAATAGCATGAAGGAACATTTAAACATAAATAATAATCCTAAAGTATTCAATTTTTTGGCATTACCTTTACACTTTGCAAGCTCAAGCCATGAAATGTTGCCATTGTGTCAATTTTAAATCCTTCGGTGTCTAAATGAAAAAATGGGACTATATAACACTAAATTACAAAAATAATAAATTTCATTTTATACAAGAGCTATTTAGTAATAATGTTAAACAAAATATGATTGTTTGGAAAAATATAGAAAATGTTTTAAAACTATATAAAACTATATAATAATATATAATGAATCAATATATGTGTATTTATTTAATCAAATAAATGTGATGGAGCAGAAAAACGCTACTCTTTTTGTGACCTCACAATATACAACCTGAAAATAGATATTATAGGTTTTACCTACCTTAGGTTTTAATAACCTGAAAATTAGATATTGTAGGTTTTAATATTGAGTGAGGACTCAATATTAAAACCTATATCTAGTACCATATGCTAGTAAAGGACTCAACTTTTTTTAATATCAGGTAGCAACCTAACTTTTTTTTCCATTTCTATTTTCAGGTTGTATTTTTATGTTAAAATTAAAAGAGAGATGAAAAGGAAAAGCCTTACAACTAAGAAGTAATAGGCCTCAAAAGATAGGGAGATAAATTTGTTTGAAAAAAATATAATGTACCTTTTTGACTGTCAAATCTTTCCTGATCGTAACGATCATATCTATTTATTGAAGCTTGCTTCTTCACTACCTCCTTAAAAGTAAATAGTCACACCTATTGAATTATTTTTTTAAAATAAACTAAAAATTATAAAATAAAACATTAATTCAAAAACGAATAACAAGCAATGCTGGTTAATTCATGCTGTTGTCCAACATTATTTAATAAATTGTAATTATCTATCACTATAGTCAACATTTATTAGAACAAAGTTTTTTTTTCATGTTATAATCCCACATATTGCATTTTATAGCTTTACATTATTGCATCAATATTTTCTCATGTTAATGTCCCACATTAACTAGTATGTTTTTATATTCTAAAGCTATAGTTCAAAATTACTTATTACATCATAATTTTCTTATGTAATGATCTAAATTTAGTTATTGAATCTTTACTTTCTCATGGTGAAGTCTCTAATTATTTACTCTATGTAACGCAAATTTTCTTTGTTTTTATAATATTAGCAAAAAACTGTTCTTAAAATCTATTTCAATATGGATTAAAAATCTTTTAATGCAAATTTATAAAATTTTGCAAGACTATCAACTATTTTCTAAATGTCTCCATGGTAAGACAAAAAATCCAAAAGAGTCTTTGAATAATGTTATATGGTCTGGGGTTCCTAATAACACTTTTTTCAGTACAGAAACAGTTGAAATGGGAACTTAGTGTTCTTTTTTCTTATTTTTAAAATATCAGTTAGGATCTTTTGGATGTTTTAAAGGAATATAATTTGGTTTATAATAATGACATATATTCATGTAAAGCAAATGAAACAAAAGTCAACACTATATAAAGCAAAAAAAAAAAGTTAAGATCAGTAACCTAAGGGTTTAATTATAAACATAATTCGAATGAAAATAAGCACCTATACATTTATGGTAGACATTAAATATAATTTTTTAAAAAAAACATTTCAAATAAATTTTAAATCTTTTAAACTTTTCATTTTCATTATGCTTTGAAACATCTGGATACCGGCTAACAATTTGGGCTTAAAATTTTCAGGTTATACTCAGTATAGAAATATAGTTAAGGTGGTCAACCCCAATTCATAATGTATTTTAAATTTTTTTTTTGAGATTTTATAAAAAGTGTTTTTTTTTTATTCCAATCATTGTTGAACACAATTAGAGCACTTACAGTTGTCAAACTTGTACATAAACTGGTCTAATTCATTTAAGGAACAATTAGGATAGACTTTGTTTACCTAACAACACCCATAGCAACCTTTTTTTTTCAAGATAATTTAACAATTATCACCTCAAAAACCAATATTCATTTAGTCAGTATAAAAAAAAAAATACTGTTTCACCCTATATGGCTTTTTGGTAACTTTTTGCTATATCTTAAACTTTCTTTGCCACGAAAGATTGATATGTATAATACTGTAGAGCACTGTGTAAAGTAACAACAGCAGTGTAAATACTTTTAAAGTTATATTTAAAAGTATTTCAGTGATAAATTGATATAAAAGTAAAAAAGTTTTGAAAAAATTCCAAAATTTACCAAATATATCAACAAACAAAAAAAAAGTATTTAGAAGAAACCAACATATTACCAATTAAAGAAACTTTAATCAAACCTCTATTTTAAACAAAAATAGAAATGCAAGTCAAAAAAAATTGCAATATAATACTGAGCTTCATAATGTAGAAAACAAACTTAAAGGATAAATTACAGAGGATAATTACAATATAACTATAAACTTTAAATCTTTAAATGTTTAATGATGATAAAAGTAGTGAGTGTTACAAAATAAAAATGGGTTTTGATATGAGTTACAGTTATCATGTGTAAGTTCTTTGCAAACTTTGATACATCTCTTTCAAGCCTTAAAGTAATTTCAACCTCTCCTGGAAACCTGTTGCTGCTGTAAAGTTGAATGCTATCGTGGCTTTTAGAGAATTTGAAAAATGTCATAAATCTTTGCATATTTTTTCAACATTTATGAATATGCCACCAACTTTTTTCCTATGTCAAATACTGTTTGTGGCAGGCTGATTAACTAACAAACTTATTTAAATACAAAATAAATTAGGCCTTTAATTAATTTAAGCAAAATTTTAAAACCAATTTTTAAAGATTTATCTAATCAAGATTTTCTAAAAAGTGTCTTTGCAGTAAAATAAAGAACAGTAATGAAAGCTTGAATGGTGTTATTTGAAAAGATGTCCTAAAGATATATATATAAATTGGCAGTTTTATCCATTAGGTACCTAAGTTAACTTATAAGTAGTTGAATCACCAAAGGGCATTAAAAAAAGGATTTTTACTTTCTGATAAATCCTTTTTTTTTTTTTTAAATGCTCATTTAAAGTTAAATACAACATAATTAAAATAAACTAGAAAAATTAAATGAAATTTAAAGAAATTCATTTGAATTGGGGTTGACCACATTAACAGATGTTTTTTGAATTGGGGTTGACCACTTTAACAGATGGGAGTATTGGTTCAATCTTTTCTAATAAGAATATACTTCATATATTAACTTCAATAACTTAGTATTTCAAGCAAATTTGCAATAATTCATGATTAAATTTTAAATGTCTGTAAATCAAAAACCTATCTTTTAACCGGAATAAAACATTATAATGCATCAATCTACAAAAGAAAATGAATATAAGGGAAGATATGTCACAAGTAAAGTTATTCAATTTCAGGCATTTTTCAGACAGTTTTTCAGCCATTATAGACATTCCTAAATCTGCTTGAAAAAAATTTCATTTAAAATTTTTTTTTTTAATATTTACTATTAGAAAAAAGTTTTCGTTTTTTTATTTAAAAAATGCTTTTTAGTAGTGTACAACAATACAGCTGTTTTTTAGTAGTGTACAACAATACAGCTATTTTTTAGTAGTGTACAACAATACAGCTGTTTTTTAGAAGTGTACAACAATACAGCTATTTTTTAGTAGTGTACAACAATACAGCTGTTTTTTAGTAGTGTACAACAATACAGCTATTTTTTAGTAGTGTACAACAATACAGCTGTTTTTTAGTAGTGTACAACAATACAGCTATTTTTTAGTAGTGTACAACAATACAGCTGTTTTTTAGTAGTGTACAACAATACAGCTATTTTTTAGTAGTGTACAACAATACAGCTGTTTTTTAGTAGTGTACAACAATACAGCTATTTTTTAGTAGTGTACAACAATACAGCTATTTTTTAGTAGTGTACAACAATACAGCTATTTTTTAGTAGTGTACAACAATACAGCTGTTTTTTAGCAGTGTACAACAATACAGCTATTTTTTAGTAGTGTACAAAAATACAGCTGTTTTTTAGTAGTGTACAACAATACAGCTTTTTTTAGTAGTGTACAACAATACAGCTATTTTTTAGTAGTGTACAACAATACAGCTGTTTTTTAGCAGTGTACAACAATACAGCTATTTTTTAGTAGTGTACAACAATACAGCTGTTTTTTAGCAGTGTACAACAATACAGCTATTTTTTAGTAGTGTACAACAATACATCTGTTTTTTAGCAGTGTACAACAATACAGCTATTTTTTAGTAGTGTACAACAATACAGCTATTTTTTAGCAGTGTACAACAATACAGCTATTTTTTAGTAGTGTACAACAATACAGCTGTTTTTTAGTAATGTACAACAATACAGCTGTTTTTTAGTAGTGTACAACAATACAGCTGTTTTTTAGCAGTGTACAACAATACAGCTATTTTTTAGCAGTGTACAACAATACAGCTGTTTTTTAGTAGTGTACAACAATACAGCTGTTTTTTAGCAGTGTACAACAATACAGCTATTTTTTAGTAGTGTACAACAATACAGCTATTTTTTAGTAGTGTACAACAATACAGCTATTTTTTAGCAGTGCTTGTTTTATTTTTAGAAAACTTTTCAATAGTTTTGAAAATTTTGAAATAACTTTAAAAAGTTTTCAATAAAATGGTCAATCTTAGAAATGTCATATAAACTTTTTACTAGACAATAATTTGTTTGACTTTTTCGTATAAAATTTAGACAAAAAAAATTAGCTTAATCATTTGTTGAAAAATATTTGAGTCAAACAGTTTTAATGATGGACGTACTAAAGTGTTTTCAATGATAACTAAAAGTCCAAACAAACTTTGAAAATGAATATCTCTTGAATGGAGTTGTCAACTTTTTAAATTTAAAAATTAAATTAACAAAAAAACTGTATTTTACAAAGTAAATAAAAAGTTGTTTGTTTATCAGTCCATTTTGCTGAACACAGTCAACTCTTGTAAAGGTACTCATCCCAAACCTATGTACAGAATTTTAATTGACTTTTTTCATACAATTATCTATTCGATTTCTTAGTTTGCGGAGGTTTTTAGCATGCCAATTATTTGCATACACCAATCTTTTAATTTCAGTCTAAAAATCCTCTATCGGACGCAATTTGGACGCAACTCAGGCGCATTAGCAGGGCCTATAGTCTTTAATGACTAAAAAAGCACTGACTGGATGGTCATTTTTAAGTTAGCCTGCGCAATTTAAAAAATTCATTTTTTTTTTCTGCTGTTTAAATTAAAATAAAAATAACAAAAAGAACGCTTTCAGTAAATACTAGATAAAATAATTAAAAAAATAATTTTTCATAAAAGTTGAACAAATGAACAAAAAAGTTTTTTATTGCGGTTTAAAATAAAACACTTTTATTTTTTTTGGCAAGTGCTATTTTTTTGGAAAGCGCTTTTTTTTTGTGCTTGCCTAAGTTTTTGCAGGCTTGTGGGTGAGCGCAAAAAGACATGAGCGCAAAAGGGCTCAAGTCTTTTTGCGGCTAAAGGGAGAAGAATGGGTTTATGTCTTTCACCACATATGCCTTTTAGGTAATCTTGTACTTTGTTTAAATAGAGGCTAAATCAGGCCAGAACACAATTTCATTGTTTTTATGAACCTTGTTGATGAACTTTGAACTTCTGGATCCAAATCTAAAAAATTGTACATCTTTTATACATGTTTAATTATGTTCTGAAAAAAAAATTATGGTATATTGTAGAGGAAAAAATTTGCAACATAATAGGTAGGATTGTAAAATTAAAAAAAATTGTTAGACAAAATTTGTCCAGATTTTTAGCTGATACATGCTACTTGAATTATTCATTATAGTTATAAACATATATCTACTTAATAGTTATAAAAAAGTTTTGTTAAGAAACATTTTTTATACTTTTATCAATTGCAAAAAAATTTAAATCAATTGCAAAAAACATTTGGAAATTTTTTGGAAACATTATAGAATATCCAGAATTCTTGAAATTCTTTTCTTGAAAGTTCTAAAAATATTCTGTAAACTTCTTAAACTTTCTCAGTATTTGATACAAATTAACTTTCTCTAAGAAACAAATTTCAAAACATTGTTGTCTCAGTCACAGAAGCAAAGTTTTTGTGAAACAACAGCTATTTTTTATTTTTTTGTGGAACAACATCTACTTTCTTTTCTTTTTTTTAAACAACAGCTATTTCCAATTTTTTTTTTTTTTTTTTTGTGTGTGAAACAACTATTTCCTATTTATTTTTTATGGAACAACAGCTATTTTCTATTCATTTTTTATTTGTTTTTGTGAAACAAAAGCTAACTTCTATTTAATTTTTGTAAATCAACAGATTTTGTCTATTTGCTTTTTGTGAAACAACAGCTAATTTTTATTTATTTTAAAGGAAACAGGTTATAAAATAACACTTTTAACCATTAGTAGTAAAATAAAACAAATTTATATGAACATACTTTAACAACAGGTGTTACAGTTTGTGGTGGAACCAGTTTTCCTTCTTCTTGTGCTTTTACTGATGATAGAATGGCAAGAATGTTTTTTAGGAATTGCTGCAAGAAAACTTAACATCGTTTAATATTTTGTTTTAGAATAAAGCCAATTCAAGAAAATGCATTTTTCAAAAAGGATTTTACAAATATTCTTAAAAGTTTACTTACCTTTCCATTACTCTGTAACACAGTAGTTCTTGTTCTTAACTGTCTTTCCCTTGCTAATATATCTTTAGTCATATCATTGTCGGCGTCAATTATAAAGTTTGATACTGTGGAAGGTTTATCTTCTTGCTAAACAAACATAACATTTATAAAAATAAATTTGAAGAAAAAACTTTTTAAATTTATTATAAATTTATTATCAACGTAATTTTACAATGATTGAATAATTGTTGAAAATTAATAGCTATATAATAAAGATTAAATACTGACAATTTTCAATGCTGACAAGTTTATATGACATAAAATAAAGTTTAATCCTAATAAGTTAAAGTTTAATGACATGTTTGTAAGTTATAGGTGACAAATTTTTTAATTAAAAGGTGACAAGTTTCTCAGTTAATGATAAGTTTTTCAGTTAAATGGAGACAAGTTTTTTAGTTATATGGTGACAAGATTTTCAGTAATATGGCGACAGGCTTTTAAGTTAAATGGAGACAAGTTTTTTAGTTATATGGTGAGAAGATTTTTTGTTATATGGTGACAGGTTTTTCAGTTATTGGTGACAAGATTTTCAGTTATATGGTGACAGGTTTTCCAGTTATATTGGGACAAATTTTTCAGTTAAATAGTAAAAAGTTTTTCATCTTAATGGTAACAAGTTTTTTAGTTAAATGGGGACAGGGTTAGAGTTCCTTTTTAATAAAAGGCCTTACAAAAAAACTAGAAAACCTTAATACTAGAAATTTCTATTTCCTAATTGATTTCAACAAAAATCTAATTTGTCACCTAACTATTACAACTGTCACCAGTTATTACAAATTTATAAATATCTTTGATTTAAGAACTTTATTCAGAATAACTAAAAGAGTTGACTATTTATTATTTAATTGAAATAATAAAATGTACATACAGGAACAAGTGGTACTTCTGGATTATAATCTTCATCACCTTTGATTGTAGTTCTTTTTCTTGTCATAATTTTGCGTTTGATTTCAGCAATTCTATCAATTGACATTACCTCATTTAAACCACTTTTAACTCTAAAAAAAATATAAACATTAAAAAAAACACATTCTGAAAAAATATTTAAAAACCAAACAAAAAAACTTCGAGCAAAAAAGTACTTTCCATCATTTAAAAGCATTTTTATCTATAATTAGCTATAATAGTTATTCTTAGCAAAAATATGTTTCCATTTTTATGGTTCATTTTCATAGGCCTTTAAATTTTTCTTGTTGATTGTTTGTCATGGTCTTAGTCTGATTACTTAGAACGTTCTAGAACAGACAGACATTCTTCAGAACAGACATGCATTCTTAAGAACCGACAGGCATTCTTCAGAACAGACAGGCATTCTTCAGAACAGACAGACATTCTTCAGGACAGACATGCGTTCTTCAGAACCGACAGGCATTCTTCAGAACAGAGAGGCATTCTTCAGAACAGACAGACATTCTTCAGAACAGACAGGCATTCTTCAGAACCGACAGGCATTCTTCAGAACAGACAGGCATTCTTCAGAACAGACAGACAATCATTTGATATAACTTCTGACCCAGCTTATGGCTTGCATTGCCTGGTAAATTAACTCAAACAAAACTTAACTATTTACTGTAAACAATTATCACAATACTGTTGATATCCATATTATTGATGGGCACCACTATCACTGAGTCCTTTATTAGACGTCTTCTGGGATTATCACTCACTACTGATCTCAAAAATTATATATATACAATCCATTTCAATTTTAGCAGTTTTTTGTGTGTGTGAAACAACTATTTTCTATTTTTTATGGAACAACAGCTATTTTCTATTCATTTTTTATTTGTTTTTGTGAAACAACAGCTATCTTCTATTTAATTTTTGTAAATCAACAGATTTTGTTTGTTTGCTTTTTGTAAAACAACAGCTATATTGTATTTATTTTTAGCAAAACAGGTTATAAAATAACACTTTTAACCATTAGTAGTAAAATAAAACAAATTTATATGAACATACTTTAACAACAGGTGTTACAGTTTGTGGTGGAACCAGTTTTCCTTCTTCTTGTGCTTTTACTGATGATAGAATGGCAAGAATGTTTTTTAGGAATTGCTGCAAGAAAACTTAACATCGTTTAATATTTTGTTTCAGAATAAAGCCAATTCAAGAAAATGCATTTTTCAAAAAGGTTATTTGGTTGTTAAGTTTACCTTCATTTATCTTTATTGCGCTAACATATTCTTACTCCTGATTATATTCTCTACCTCTAAAAATCTCTTATTTGTCCTTGTAAGGAATACTGTTCCCATTTATGGCTGGTTTTTCTGACAAGGCCCTTTCTCTTATAGACAAGATATAAAGGCCAGGTATTTGGAGTTGGAGTCCAGAGCTCCAGAGTCTCTATTTTTGCTATTTTTGAGTTTGGAGTCACAGGAGTCCATGAAGATATTAGGACTCTTGAATTTTTATTATTTTATTATTAGATTGCTCCAAGAAGAACAAACAATCTTTTCAGAGAGCATTGTAGCAGAGCATTTATTCAGAAAATTTACTTCTACTTGTCTACTTGTTTCCAATCTCATTTATTTGGCCAGGTTTGGCATTGTTTTTAAAAATGCTAATATGCAGATACCAGTCAAGTTACTATAGCTAACATTATTTATTCAATTTATGATAACTCAAACTGTTCAACATTTTCTGAACCAAAAATATTATTACGGCAAATTATGTTTTATGTAATTAAAATTCAGTCTAGTCTGATAACCAAATGCCAAAGTTTCTTAACTAACAAAATTATAATCAACAAAAAAACTCCAATAGTACAACAAGTCTTGACTTCAACAAAACAAGTTAATAAATATAAAATTTCTTTTTAAGTGTTAAATTGTTTTAAACTCAAACTAACGAGCTAGACAAGTTTTAACACAGAAAACTTATAAAAAGCTTAGGAAAAACCTCAACAAACAAAAATTGCTTGTGCAGCAATTTGTTTAATTTTACTTTGAATAAGTTTTTTTAACATATAAGAATGTAAACACATTTGGAAAAAGTGGTAAGTAACATCTTCAAGTGCCTTGAACACATTGTTAAAATGAAAATTTGTCAAAATTTAATTCAATTTATCAGAGATAATAATCGGAAGCATATTCCAAAATTTTGTATTAACAATGTGTTTAATTTATAACTAGTCATGATAACTATTTCCATAACTATGTTTTCATTGGATGTTAAAATAAAACAATTTTTTAAACCATATATAAAAATGCAAATACTAATATTCACATCAATAACTGTCTTGCTTCATAATAATGTTTACTGATTTACTCACACTTAACACTCATGATGGGTGATGGCCACTAAACATGCATTAGACACAACCTACAGACATTTTCATTGTACAAATAAAATTGTAAAGTGCTTTAAATGTATTGTATCCAATAAAAGTAAATATAACAAGTTGTGCCTTGAAGAAATTGCATGTGCCACAAAACCATAAGCAACCTTATAAATATTAAGTACAAGACTTACCTAGAAAACACACTGAACTTCTCATAATGCTAAAAAAAAGGAATATTAGAAGAAAAAAAAGAAGATAAGAAACAGCAAGAATGTACAGCCAACAAAAATAGCACTTCCCATCAATTCATATTAAAATGTTTTACACCACAGCAAATTAACTTGCACATATTAAAAGACAAGTTTTTAGAAGCTCAGATCAATTAGTTTAAATTAAAGATCTTTCATTCCAGTTTAAATCCATTTCATTGGTTTAAATTAAAGATCTTTCATTCCAGTTTAAATCCATTTCATTGGTTTAAATTAAAGATCTTTTATTCCAGTTTTAGTTGCATTTTAAAATATAAAAATCAAATTTTTTTACAGTTTTTTGATGAACATTTATTCTAAAAAATTAATCCAAAAAATAACATAATTTCATATTTCATTTTGCGAAAAGCTATAGTGGGTGAATAAAAAAATAATAAAAACTGGCACATCTGAAAGAGATATTTCATAAATAGATATAGGTGTTCATTACATTGGGAAGCATTTAATGTTATGTTATGGGCAATCATGCTACAAATTGAAAGTGGACACAATAAAATTATTACAAAGCTAATATTCTAATATGATACTTGCTGGTTTGAAAATTTTCTATAAGAGAGTTTTTTCCTTTTTTTCTTCAGAATTCTACTATACTGTTCATTAAATTTCATAAGGGACAAACTAACTTTTGTGTTAAATTCATATGAGAAATTTAATAACACCCTACCACGTTTTCAAGATTTTTTTACCCATAAAAACAATATCAAACTACCTAACTAAAAAAAAAAATTTGAGGAGTCCAAAGTCTGACTTCAAGAAGTATATAATTTTTGACCTAGGTGTCTGGAGTCCCAGAGTAAAAAAAAATCGATGGAACTCTGCATTTCTGCCATATAAACATTTTAAATGTTGTTAACCTGCTCTAGCTGTTAAGCTTGAGCCCCATTATTGTTCTTTCTTTTTTCAAATACTACCATGGTCGCTGCTCAAGCAAGTTATCAATGTTTTATCAACTAAATCAGTTAAATTCATTAAATGTTTTTTTTTTAACCATTTTATTTCAATAAACATTCGTGCTTTGGGATACTCTACTAACTTTATGTTTTCCATACAATTTACTATTTTAAAAATACTTGTTTTCTTGCTATTTAGCTCTCTTCTTTGCATTCAACTTCTAGCTAAATTGTTTGCATTCTGTTAACTTCCAATTTAATTGTTGTTTTCATTCTGTTAACTCCAAATTAACTGTTTGCAGTCTTATTTCCTGCATTTTATTATTTAGTATTTATATAGATGTATTTTTTTTTAGAAAAGATGTATTTTATTTTCATTAAATAACTTTAAAAATGTGATTCAAAAATTTCCTCCAACATTCAATAATGGATGTCTATTTTTGTCAATTAAATGTTTCAAATAACAATAACTTATTTGAAACACTATATCAGTATCATGTGATTCAGAGTATAAATTGAAAAAAAAACACTTAGTAGCTTTAGGTGTTAGAGAAGCTTCAAAGATTATAGTTGAGGTGTTTTAAAAATTACCACAAAAAAGTTTTATAAAATTAGAGTAATTGTTTTTTAAAATTGAGAAAATATTTAATCTGCAAGATATTAAAAAATTTCAGTTAAAAATAAAAAAAAAGTAAAATTAAAAAAATTATAAAATCTTACTCTAACAAAATTCTATCTGTAGTGATAGCACCTTCTTTTTTTTCCATTAATTTCATAGATAACCATTCCTTTTATAATAAAATAGTAGATAGATAAATGTGTGTGTGTATATATATACATTTACAATACATAATAGATATATATAGATATATATATATATATCACGTTAGAAGAATTCAAATAAAAAAAAAATTTAAATGCAAGACCGGAGTTATTTTTTTTAAAACTTGATAAATTGATACATATATAGCCTTGTACGGTAGTCAAAAAGTTTTTCCCATAAACTGTTTTGAAGAGAGCGCTAATAAATAACTAAGAGCGCTAATAAACCAGACCAGAATTAGTTTAAAAACTTAAACAATATTTTTTTTATTTATTAAATGATACACTGCCTGCGCTAACCAAACCCTCAGTTGATGTAGCAGTACTCCCTTGCGAGTCAGGCTGTTTGTCAGTCGATGTAGCAACACTCCATTGCAAGTCAGGCTATAAGATAGTCAATGTAGCAAAACTCCGTTGTGAGTCAAACTATATAATAGTCGATATAGCAACACTCTGTTTCGAGTCAGGCTATAAGATAGTCAATGTAGCAACACTCCCTTGTAGCAGCAGGCTATAAAATAGTTGATATAGCAACACTTCACGCATGTTTTAAAAATATATTTTAATAAAACAACAACAAAAACACAATTAATTAAAAAAAACTTTCTAATCATTATTATTATGGTTTTTTTTAAAAACAATAAAATTTAATGTACTTCCACATTAATTTAATTGCTTTGACATTTCGATGACAATAGAATGTAGCTTAATTGTCAAGGTAGCAAAATTGTAGCCAAGAGACTTTTTTTACATTAAAAGTCTTTTTTGAATACCATATAAAGATATATATACATATATACATATATATATATATATATATATATATATATATATATATATATATATATATATATAATATATATATATATATATATATATATATATATATATATATATATATATATATATATATATATATATATATATATATATTCTAATAAATAGGACAATTTTTATAATTTATGTTAAAACCATTTATTTTATAAATACATGTTTCGATTATATCACAGCCATCATCAGTTAAAATATATTAAAATGCTTAAATTGAATTATTAAAATTAAGTTGAACTAATAGAGAACTTATATTAAAAATACAATAAAAATGCAATTAAAAAATGTTACAAATGTTTTTAAAAAGATAAAAGAACCAGTAATGTTAAAAAGAACTAGATTGAAATTGTCATTTTTACATGGTTCATTTGTTTATTAATAGTGGGTTTTTCCCACTCTATGTACATCCTTTCTTTGAGTTTCAATATAAATTTGTTGGAGCCGAGTCCAAAATTGAAAAACTAGCATAATTAATTATTAACATATAAGATATTTAGGCTCCCAGATGTTATAAAAGTATAGGTATGAAGGAGCTCCACATAAAAATGTTTAATAAAAAAGAACTCCGAAATTGTATTTTAAAAAAATTACTTTGAAAACCTGCAGTTTTGTATCTAGGATCAAATAATGTAGCAACTGTAAATTATTTTTTACAAATTATTTTCTTCAATATTTGCTACTACAAATTATTTTCTTTAATATTTGGAAAACATGAGCAACAGTCTTTTCCCTCAAAATAACTTTTAAAAAAACTAAGCAGTAAATAACATATAAGAGACATTACTAGATGAAGTCCACATATCACTAATCAGTGCACATGATGTGGTGTTTTGAGTTCAGTAATTTTAACTAAACAATTAATTTTAATAATTTTGCCTAAATAACTTTAGTTATAATAGTAATAATTTGACTACATACTTTGTTCATGTTTGAAATCAGCTTCGTCCAAATACTTTTTTGATAGCACATTTTTGTGCTATCAAAAATATATGGTTTAAAAATTTTAAGATCTGGTTATTTACAACTGTTTTATATGGTTTTAAAGCATTACAAAATAAATCTCAGTCAGGATTATCAAAAATTGTTCTTCTTTAATTTGGTCCAGATTATCACAATTAAATTTTGTAGTTTTTAGGAGTGTTTGGTGCAAACTATACAGTTTCAAACATGAACTCTAAGATTTTTACTTGTTCTTTTTTATTTGGTCTTCAAAGTTTTTGACTTAATTGCAGAAGAGACTTATTTGCAGGACAAATTGGCCTATGCTTGTTCAAAAAAGAGAAAGGTTTAATGTTGTCAGATACATACAAATATCAGAAGATCATCTATTAACATTTATGAACATCCATCATGCAAAAACCTCTAAGCAAGATTGTGCTGCCATTCTACTATAACAGTCATGGCTGTAGAGCAATGATATTATAACCTTTGTATGACCTTTTAAGTCTCAAAATTCATCTATATTAAATTTTATATTCATCCTTATTAAATTTTATTAAGTATTACAGGGTTATTCGTTCTTATATGCGCGTCTATTCATTTTTATATGCGCCTTTATTCATTCTTATATGCGCATTTATTCATTTTTATATGCGCCTTTATCCATTCTTATATGCACATTTATTCATTTTTATATGCGCCTTTATTCATTCTTATATGCGCATTTATTCATTTTTATATGCGCATTTATTCATTCTTATATGCGTATTTATTCATTCTTATATGCACGTTTATATGCATCAACCGCCCATAAAATCTCTAATATAATTTAATATAAACGATAAATACACTCTTAAATTTTTATATATATATATATATTTTAAATATAAATTAGGTTGTTTTCATTGTTATTTATTTAAGAAATGGTTGCCGAGCCAGCGCTGGATTTATATAACTACGCATATGGTTGTAAAATGGAACTATATTAAACTCTGTAGTATCCATAATAATTTTAAGTTTCCTGATTACCTCATCCGTATTTCGAGGCCTTTCTCCCTGTTTGTAAGTATGTTTTAAAGAAGAAAAAAATTCTTCTATTGGATTAAGCTGTGGCGTGTAAGCTGGCAGATACTGGCTATTCCATGAGAGGCTAGTGTTTGCCTAACAGAAAGACTCCAGTGGAATTTACAATTGTCCATAACAAGCACCGGCGCTTCCACATTTGCATTCCTAATCGCTGGTGCCATCATTGTAGTTATGAAAGTACAAAATGAATCTGCATTCCAGCCTCCAGTTTTTGTTTCATAAACAAGCACTCCCATTGTTGAAACAGCACAAATTAAACTAACATTCTTGCCACGATTTGCAGGTGACTGTAAAATTGCTGGCGCACCTCTTAGCAAATAACCATATGTGTTGTTAGTGTGCACATTAAACCCAGTTTCATCCAAATAAATAAGTTTTTCATCTGAAATTCCGTTAATTTCGCTTGCAAATGCATATCGTGCATTATTAATTTGTGTTGAATTTCGTTCTTCTGGCACATGCACAACACGTTTTCTTTATAAATCCGAGCGTTTGAGTTTTCTTGAAATAGTAGGCTGAGACATGTTGAAGCCTGCTGCAGAAAGATTTTCTTTTATTGCTTCTTGTGTGCAAAGATTGTTTTCTTGTACGCATAATTCGATAATATTTTTTATTTGAGCGTTTATAGGTCTTTCACCTCGTTTTTTATCAGAAAACGACTTGAATGTAGTCATGTCGTCAAATTCTCCTCTGTTTAACTTAACGACAAGATTTTGAACTGTGCGCTTCGATAAATTAAGAGAAGTGGAAATGCTTGTTGTAGATTGATTTCTTTCAACTAAATGCTTAAGCATTTCAATGTGCTCTTTTATAACATTTTTCCTTGTTTTACGATTATTTTCTATTCCATCCATAGGGTAAAAATTTGATATTAATAATTATAAATAATTAAATAATAAATCTAGAAAAATAAATAATTAGATAAAAAATAACTTAATCAATCAAGAAATTTAATACAATAATACAATTTAATACAATGTAATAAAATTAAACTAAGAACTAATGCTAAATTAAATAAACCATCATCGAATGTAAAAAGTCTTCGTCTTAAGTATTTTTAAACTCGTTTACCAGGAAATAAGAAAAATTTGAGAGAGTTTTAAGTTGATGGTCATTAGAGAACAATTAACTTTATCTATTTTAATAAAATTTTTATCTTTTTTGGAAAGTTAACATTTGCTTTCATTTATAATAGTTAAAGTTAAAATGTTCAAAAAAAAATTCAAATTTTACAGTGCTTTAATTGACCTTTAACTGATTAGTTCTGTGCAAAGTAAAGTGATATTACACAAACAGTTCTGTGCAAAGTAAGGTGAATCATTATATTACACAAGCAATTATGTGCCAAGTAAGCCGATCATTATATTACACAAGCAGTTCTGTGCAACATTGGTTGATCATTATATTTTTTGCAACTTTTTGATAATCATTTTAAATTTTATTTTTTACAATTAAATAATTAATATTTTTAATTTAAAAAAAAAACCTTCAATTTTAAAATTTCATAATAACTCTAAACAAGTTGTACCTGTATATCTTGCTTCTGTAAATTATCCTAAATTACAAATAAAAACAATAAAAAATGAACAGCATATTTAGAACATAATTTTATGAAAACAAAATTACCTCAGACTTGATTTTTTTGCTACCTTCATTAGTAATATCTTCATTGGCTCTTTTAACTCCTAAAAATCAACACTTTGTGAAAAGCGGTTTATTGCAAAAGAAGCACTTAGTTTTATAAGAAAACGTGAACGGACGTGTATGCAAATATCTAACGTACATAAACTTTAAATTAAGTAATGTTAAAACATACTGACACATTTATCAAGCTTTACAGTTAGATTTTCACTTGAAAATTGCAATGCGCCAAGCTCTCCTTAATTTTGATGTCCTTAATTTTGATCTACAGCATTTATTTCCATTTAAAAAATAATTATATTCATTTAAAAATTTTTGTTTAACAATGTGTCAGTGTAGTCAAGTGGATAGCGCGTCAAGCTTCTCAAGAAATAAGTTGTGGTTCGAGTCCTACCACTGGCAATTTTTTTTTGATTATTGTAAAATACAAAATACTTTTAAAGTTTTATAGAGATTATATACAAACATATGTAACGATATTATACACTTTTGCAAACAAAAAGATTTCAAAAAAATCTAAAATTTCTAAAAACATCAAAACATCGGGAGAAAAAAATTGTTGCATATGAGTCATGATTGAGATATTTTTTTTTAAATGTGCTCAGGTAATTAGTCCTAACAAGCTGTGGATGATCTGAAAAAAAAGTTGTCTAAAACTTATAAAGGAAAAACTAAATAAGTTAGCCCTGCTGCTCCAGAAGCTGCTGTGGTTGCAAAAAAAAAAGCCCGTAGTTAGAAAAAACTTTAAAAAATTCTTATGACAATTAAAAACTTTTTTTGCTATAAATATATGCTGCAGTCTTTTTTCAAAACGCCTTAATATGCTTATTATGTATTCCGAGAAAAACGCATTTAAAAAAAAATTATTATGAGAAACTTTTTGTAAAACGTTTTTTAAAACTAATAATTTTTATGAACTTTTCCAGAACTCTTTAAAAATATGTACTCAATATCGTTTGTAGACATCTTAACTAGCTTATTTTGTAAAAAAGTCGAAATTGATTTTTTTTACCTTAAGGCATTTTGAAAAACAGCTGCAGTATGGATGACACAACAAATATGTTGAAACGAGATAATTCAACACAAAATTTAAAAGTTCTTAACAAATGCCACTTAACCAAAAAAATTAAAAGTAATTGTAGTTCAGGTCACTCTAAAATTTTAAGTATAGTATGTTTGCAAAGAAATATTATACAAATCGTTTTTTAATATAAAACTAATTTTTTTAAAACTTTGTCAAATAGGCAGGTTTGGCGCTTAACCATCCCTATATAAAAACAATATATATAAACAGATGTTATTTGTTTATGTATATTGTTTATAAAATGTAAAAAATCTACTTATATAACATTTTATTCAAGATCGTATGTGATACAAGTAAATTTTTCTAATAATTCTAAGTCTATTTTGATCAAGCTGTTTTGTTTTGATAATTTGTATGTATGTTATTATATTTAAAAAAATTGACAAGAAACACGAAATATATTGTCTCATCCAAGTGGAAAATTTTAGATTTGCCTCTCTCTTGATAATTTCTGATTGCTAAAATTATAAAATTATCATCTGCTTCTTAAACCATTAAAAATGATAGACAAGTCTTTTTCGTAAATCGTAGAAGCCACAATTTTTTTGCGTATGTGGCGTCACTTTGTGGCATAAAACTAGAAAAACAAACAAGAAATAAGATTTTATTTAAATTTAAAAAAAAACTCCTTCTAATAAAGATATATGGAATATATTTTTATGGGATTTATTCTAATAAAGACAAAAACTATTTATTAGAGGTCTTAAACCCCAAAAACAAAACTGATAAAAGCTTGGTTTGAAATAGACTTACAAAGTATTTTTATGGGTCCATTCTCAGCTATATATATACTCAATATATATATATATATATATATATATATATATATATATATATATATATATATATATATTATATATATATATATATATATATATATATATATATATATATATATATATATATATATATATATATATATATATATATATATATATATATATATATATATATATATATATATATATATATATATATATATGTATATATATATATATATACACATGGTGGCCACAGTTCTGGAATATCCTGGAATATCCTGGATTTTTGCAAGTGTCCTGGAATGTCCTGAAATGTCCTGGAAAATTACATTTTTTTCAAAAATGTCCTCAAATGTCTTTGAACTTTTTTTTTTCTGAGTCAAGTTAAAAACTTACTAATAATATTGAAGTAATATTAAATTTTTCATACGAAAATTTTTTTTATATAAATGGTTTGGATTTAATTTTAAATAAGAGAGTAATAATTATATAATATACAATATTCTATTCTATAATTCAATCAATATGAAAAAGATATAATGTAAAGATAATTGATAATATTCATTTAATAAGATATAAAATGTCCTGGAAAATGCAAGAAAATGTTCGCTTTGACATCACAAAGAAACGATGATGGTTTGTAGGCATCTTACAACATATTGCTACTTATAGCAAAATCCAGAAAACCGCATACTATCATAAGGAAGTTAATTTTGCCAGCCGTTGAAGCGGTTTTAAAAACTGTTTTACACAAAACTGCATCTGATATCATTAAAAGAATTCCCTTAAGCAACAATACTGTTGAAAGGCGTATTGATGAAGTGAGTTCTGATATTGAATGCTTCTTGTGTAATTATTTGCAAATGACACAGTTCTCTATACAACTGGAGGAGTCAACTTTACTTGGTAATGCAGCATTATTATTGGCATATGTTCGTTTTATTATAAGTCAAGAAATTCACAAAGAAATGCTCTTCGCAAGAACGTTGACAACCAACACTAAGGTGAATCAATATTTAATGTTTTGAAGGATTACTTTATCGTAAAAGCAATCCCTTTATCAAATATCTTATCAGTAACTACAGATGGAGCACCTGCATTGGTTGGATGTTATCGCAGATTTATAAGCTATTTAAAGCAAAATGTGCCAGGGGTGTTAGCAATACATTGCATCATCCGTTGGCAACATTTTGTTGCTAAAAATTTGAGCACTAGATTGCATCAATCTCTTCAATTAGTCATTCATGCAGTAAACCGAATCTGAAGCAACGCGTTGAATATGTGGTTATTTGCACAGTTGCGTGAAGAAAATGACTAACACTTTCATCAGTTACTTCTTCACACTGAAGTACGCTGGTTGTCGAATGGCTTAGATTCAAGATTCTTTGGACTTTTTGAGACTATTTTAGAATTTTTGGATACTAAAGATAAAATTTTAAAAGACAATTTAATAAAATGGAAAAAGACATTGCCTATTTAACAGATTTGTTTACAAAATTTAATACGGTTAACTTGCAATTACAAGGCGACAATCTAAATTTGATTAAAACAAAATCTATCTTATCAGCATTTCTTGCCAGATTTAAACTAATGAAGCAAAATATTGGACATGACGAACTTTTCCAGTTCCCCAGTTTGTCACAGACAAACTGTCTGGAAGACGACGTTTCAACCTACGTTCAACATTTAAATGCCCTCTATTTAGATTTCGAAACTAGGTTTGAGGATGTTTTGACTATGGTAATACCACCATGGATAATTAACCAATATGGTGAGATAGAAGAAACAATTGTCATAATACATGAAGAATTGATTGCACTAAGTACAAACGAAGAACTTAAGGTTCAGTTTAAAAAGGGATATCAGCAATTCTGGTTGCAAAACATCATACTTTTTACTTATTCAGTATAAAGGAATATAGTAAGGAAATTTTTTATTTCATTTCCATCCTCATATCTAGTGGAAAGAGGATTCAGCGTTGCTACCGATCTCCTAATGAAAAAAAGAAACAGACTGGACATCATTAGCCGAGGAGATTTAAGATTAAACCTTACAAAGTTGGCGCCAAATGTTGATAATTTATTATTAAAGCATCAGATTCATCTTTCTCACTAAAAAAATTTACTTATTGCTTAGCTTTGTTTTTTGTGTTTATTTTATGTTACGTATACAGATACACAATTTTATTTCGAGTATTTTTAATTTAAATGTAATTAATAAATATATAAAACTTAGCATGCATTTTTACTTGACATTTTTAAAACTAAACTTCACTACAGTTAGAAATTAACGAAAAATTAATATCAGATAAGTTTTTTCAAAACTGAAAAACATAGCAAGGGGTCTACGACACAAAAAAGTTTGGGAATCACTGACTTAGAAAATCGTAAAAAAAAGTATTTAATTGCAACTGGAATTTTTAAAAGAAACAAATTGTTTTATAAAAAAAAATTTAATTTTCAAGACCTTAAATAAAATATGACTTTAAAAATTTAAATTTTAATTAAATTTAAAATTAAAAATTTAAAGAAATGTAAAATAGTAAAGCATTGAATGTAAAATTTAGTTTCAAATGAATGTAAAATAATTTTTCAATTTTTATTCAAGAAGTTTTTTCCAATCATCTGCTAATGCTAAAACGTTTAGGAACATAAACTTAAGTTTACAAATATCTTATTTATTGGTTTATTATTTTATTATTATTTCATGAAATATCTTATTAGTAACTGACAAAATCTATTTATAAATTGTATATAATCTTTATTAAGAATACTACATTAAATACGTAAAAATTAAAATAAATAAAATGTGATAAACAAACAAAAGATAATGATAGGTATAAGATTGTTTTATGAAATTAACTATAAAGAAATATAATGTTTTTCAAACACTTTTTTTCAAAGAATTTAAATTCTAATAATAACTTTTTATCTTTAATAATTACAAAATATTAAAAGTAAAGAGTTTTTATATATTTTTTATAAAAATTTTTAAATGGTTTTTTTATATTTGTCAATACTTTGTTGTTGTAAAAAAGAACAATACTTTATGGATAAAATAAACCCTCAATTTAAGTAAAAAAACTAACGACTAGTATATCGGCATGTGCTTTATCTGAAATTAGAATAGTGAATGTTATCAATAGTTTACAATATTAATTTTATTTACGCAAAATATTACCAGTCTACGCTTAGCCCATTATTAAAAAATGTTAGAATATGTGAATATGCAGAATATGCTAAAATGCAAAATTTTTATAAAAAATTACAATGGGCAACTCAAAAAACTGGCAGGCGACCAAAACTAACTGAACTATATATATATATATATATATATATATATATATATATATATATATATATATATATATATATATATATATATATATATATATATATATATATATATATATATATATATATATATATATATATATATATATATATATAGAGGAAAACGATTTATTTCAAATAATTAAAAATATACAGTTTAGGAAGATCCAATGCAACTTTTAAAATAAATTAAAAAACGATGTTTCCTCTATTCAAAATTCGAAATTTATCTATGCATATGCAAATAAGACGTCAAACTTATACGAGCTGCCTAAAGATGAATACAATAAATAGATGACAAACGCTGCCACAACTAATCATAAAAAAACCAATCCAATAATAAAAGATCAGATTAATAAAGAAGGAAAAATTATTTTAAAAAATCACGATGTTTTCAACAAAATTCATATTAATGGATCATCAAACTGTTTCATCACATTAAAAGATCATAAACCTAATTTTTTAAATAATCCTACGGTTCGTCTCATAAACCCAGCAAAGAATGAAATAGGAAGAATAAGTAAACATATTTTATCCAAAACAAACAACCAGCTAAGAAATATTTTATGTATTAACCAGTGGAGTAACATACAGGAGGTAATTAAATGGTTCAAGAACATCAATGACATTTTTATAAATTTCTCATTTTTGATATTGTTGACTTTTATCCTTCTATTAACGGGAAACTTCTTGTCAACTCTATTTGCTTTGCTGAACAGTATATTACCATTGCTAACAATCTTTGATTCATCGCGCATGGAAAATACTTGTTATTTAACAATAACGAAGTTTGGATAAAAAAATCAGGTGATTTATTTGATATCACCATGGGAGCGTTTGACGGTGCCGAGGTATATGAGTTGGTAGGAATTTTTCTTCTTTTCTATATTTCTCAGTTTTATAACAGGTTTGACTTTGGACTGTATAGAGATGATGGGTTGGCCGTAATTAAAAACGCCAGCGGTCCACAAATAGAAAAAGTTAAAAAACATATAACTCAGATATTCAAAAGTAACAGCCTTAATATTTCTATTCAATGCAACATAAAAATAGTGAATTATCTTGATATTAGATTAAATCTTAATGACTGCAGCTTCAAACCTTACCATAAACCTGAAAGTTTGTTAAAATATATCCATGCCAGCTCTAACCACCCACCAAGTATTTTAAAACAGCTGCCAACCTCTATGGAACAAAGATTATTATCAAACTCCTCCTGCAAAATTATTTTTGAAAACTCTTCTATTTACAAAGAAACCCTTATAAAGTCTGGACATAACAGCAATATCCAACATCGTCCTAATTTAAATTTACATAAAGCTAATTGTTATACTAATAAATGCAAACGAAACATCATATGGTTTAAGTAAGAATGTTGTCACCAAATTAGGAAATCTTTTCTTGAACTTAATCTACTTACATTTTCCAGCACACCACAGGTTACACAAGATTTTCAACAGAAACACCGTCAAAATAAGCTACAGCTGCATGCATTTTGCACAACCAAAATACCGAAAACGTTAGAAAATGCAACTGTATAGACAGAGCTACGTGTCCTTTAGAAAATCAATGTCTAACTAAAAATATTGTTTACAAAGCTACCATAACACCAGCAAACATCAATCACGTTAAGAAATCTTATAATGGTATTAGCGAAAATTCCTTCAAGATCAGGTTTGCAAACCACATAAAATCATTCAACTTAGTCAGATATAAAAATGACACTGAATTTTTTAAAGAGATCTGGAAACTTAATGAAGCAGGTACTAAACCAATAATCAAGTGGAATATTGTTAAAAAATGTCAACCCTATAACCTATCCTCAAAAAGGAGTAACCTTTGCATAAATGAGAAATATTTAATTTCAACATACAATAAAGAACCTTTGTTAAATAAAAAAAGTGAATTGGTTTCAGCATGTAGGCACAGAAAAAAGTTTTTGTTACCGAATTTCAACACCGGTTAAATAAATTCCCGTTTGGCATGAAAACTGACGTTTGATCTCGTTGCAACGCAATTTTGTTTTTTTATATTGGTTTTTATTTTAATGATTTTAAATATATGGCTGAATGATTGCTGAATGGCATGAAACTTGAAATCCTATAAAAAAGTCATATTTTATTCATTAAAATATATATATATATATATATATATATTATATATATATATTTATATATATATATATATATATATATATATATATATATATATATATATATATATATATATATATATATATATATATATATTTAAATATATATATATATTTAAATATTTATATATCTTTGAATATATATATATATAATTTTAAATATATATAACTTTAAATATATATATATAACTTTAAATATCTATTACAAAGTTATTACCTATAGAAGCATTTCTTGAAAGAGGAAGTTCAAGTGGTCCACTTCGATCAATATTTGAGGTTGTATCTAGAGAAAATATTTCAGATAATTATTGCAAAGTAAATTTTTTTTAGTTTCAACACTTGAAGTAAAAATATAAAAGCATATTAAAATCCAAAAAACTTTTATTTTACTATAAAACTTAACTATAGACAAAAGAGTAACAATGTTATTATATTGAAATAGTAAACAATTATTTTTCAGGTGATAGCAAGTTCTTAAAAAAAAATATTTTTCAGGTGTTAACAAGTTTGATAAACGCAATAGAAAAAAAAAAATCTCTAAATTAACTTTATCAAATAATTACAGAGCAATCAAATATTTTTGAATAAAATATATAAAATAATATTTAAGTAATATTTTGAAGTGTGTGTGTCAAGATGTGACGGGTTGTTTTGGTTCTTATTATTTTGGTTTTTTAAGTAAAAAAACGCATGGCTCCATTTTTTTGTTTTTTTTGGGGGAAAATTTCATTTCTTAAGCTAATAAGTTTAAGTTTAAGTTTCAATATCTTAATTCATGTTTTAAATTCACATTTAAATTGGACAAATAATACTGAAATTTGCTAATATTCTTTTTATTTTGGTATGCTTAAAGGTTAACACAGTTGGAGCAGTCAATTGGTTCTAGTGTTATATATTGAAACAATAAAAATTGTTACTTTACATTTATTATATTTAATTACATATATGATATATATATATATATATATATATATATATATATATATATATATATATATATATATATATATATATATATATATATATCACTACTAATTGCGGTTTACTAGGAGAAAAAAAAGCAAAAAGAGAGCAAAAAGAGATCAAAAAGAAAAAAAAAGAAAAAAAGCAAAAAGAAAACAAAAAGAATGATTGACAGAAGACTTAAAGAGTTGTATGAACTTTAAGAAAGAGTTCTAAAGAAATGAAATGCCTGGAAAGAAACTAGATGAATAAAGGTTTCTAGAGCATGCAGAGACAAATATGGTAAACAAATAAGACTTAGCTGAATGACAAATCAAGCAAGAATAAGTTTTAGCTGCTGAAAATAGAGATGATAACTCCTTTGAGCAGCAACCATGATAGTATTTGTAAAAAAGAGAAAGAGATGCAACTCGATGATGCAAATACATTTATTCATCGGTAAAAAGGAAAAACAAAAGAAATTATTTTAAAGAATAAAAAAGATTACTTAAAATAAAGTAAAATAAGAAAAATATTGAAAGGTATAAACGAACGAAAAGATTGTGAAAAAAAAAAACAAGAAAATAATTAAAAGAAAAAAAAGAACAAATAGATTTAATAAAACAAAAGCAAAAGCAAAACAAAGTTAAAAAAATAAAAGTTCAAAAAATGTTCGAAATAATAATAAAAAGAACTAATTAAAACAAAAATAAATCACTACCAATTTTTCTACGCCTTTCTTTTTCTTCCACAAATAACAAAAAATTATTATTTTTTAATTTTTTTTTATTTTTAAGAAGATTTTGTGTTTGCCCTTTTGTCTGTTTGCTTATTTTATTTAGGTGTTACTCCAAGGACTAGTTCTTAACTATATGAGTGTCACCAAATTTTGAAAAAGAAAAAGAAAAGTAAATCTAAAATCTAAAATAAAAAAACTATATTTTGAAAGTGTCAAAGTTTGTTTTATGCATTTTCTATTATCAATTAAAACAGAAGAAAATTGTACGAGCGCTTAAATGTATTTAATAAAATACTTTGTTAGTTAGTCAAGTTACTTCCTAAATAAAAACTAAAAAATTTTATTTAAACAAAAACACTATTTTATTTTATTTTTTTACAAATTTTATTTAAAAATCTAGAGATGAAGTAATAGAAATTTTCCCCAAAATATATACTTTTAATATATAAATTTTCCCCAAAATATATACTTTGACATTTTAATGGTAACTGATAAAATCTATTTATAAATTGTTTATAATCTCTATTAAAAATACAACATTAAATATGTACAAATTAAAACAAATAAATTGTGATAAACAAACAAATGATTATGTTAAGTAATTTTCAAGAAATTAATTGTTTTAAGAAATTTTTTTTTTTTTTTTTAACATCTTTGCTTCCAACAAAGCTGCAAGCAACCACTAATTAGTGTTGGAAGTTACTGGAAGAGAAAAGATGAAGATTGTAGAGCAAGACAACGATTGACAGACAACTTAAAAGATTGCAAAATATATGATTCAGAAAAGCAAGATAAAGAAAACGAATTCCAAAAAACTGATGTTCGTAGAAAAAAACTAGACAAATAAGAGTTTTTGGAGCACTTAGGAATAGTAACAGTAACAGAAAAAGGATGAGACTTAATTGAATGACGAATAACACGAGAAAGAATTTTAGTAGATGGCACAAGAGACGCTAGCTCTTTAGAGCAGTGCCCATTATAGTATTTGTAGAAAAAAGAAAGAGAAGCAACATTACAGCGATGCGAAAGGTAAAAGGTTGGCTGCAAGAGCAGGTCCAACTATGTTTACAATGCGTTTTTGCACCTTGTCTAAAAGAAAATGGGCATCATTAGAAGATCCGCCCAAGATATGATAACAGTATTCCATACAAGGCCGGATTTGAGATTTATAAAGATGGAGAATAGAATCCAGAGAAAGAAAGTGTCGAGCTCAATAAAGAGATGCAACTTTAGCAGATGCTAATTTTGCAATGGATTTGATATAAGGTTTCAAAGAAAGATCAGAGTTAATCCTATAAGATGAAGAGTAGATGACTCATTGAGTATATTTCCGTTCATAAATATAGGAAGGTCTAAATTATTGCGATAACGATGGGCTAAAATAAATTGAGTTTTATCTGAATTAAAGTTCACCAGCCACTGTGAGCCCCATGCTGTAACAGAAGTGAGATCCTTTTTAAGCTCAAATGCCCTAAGCAAGCAATCAGAGGGAGTTGCCTTTTTATCGTGACAATAATAAATGGTAGTATCATTGGCAAACAATGCCACCTTAGATGTGAGAATATTTGGAAGATCGTTAATGTAAATTAAAAAGAGTATAGGGCCAAAGATTGAACCTTGAGGAACCCCTGAGGTTACAGAATAAGAAGAAGAGTGATATCTATCAAGGACAACTTTTATACTAAGATTGGAAAGGAAGGATTCAATAATCTTAAAGATGTTTCTAGATACACCATAAGAAGAAAGCTTATGGAGAAGACCAGCATGCCAAACTTTATCATATGCTTTAGAAATGTCAAGAGCGATGGCCTTAACCTTTCCACCTTTATCTAATGTGCGATAAAACCTTTTGGTTATTACTATTAGCAAATCAGCCGTAGAACGAGAAGATCGAAATCGAAAAAAAAAGTTGTTAGATTCAAAATTAGAGATTAAGTGTTTGTTAATTAAAGATTCAAAAACCTTGCTTATGATAGGAAGAAGACTAATGGGATGGTAGTTTGACGAATCGAATCGCTCTCAAGAACTTTTAAAAATAGGGATAACAGATGCTGTTTTCCAGCAGGCTGGAAAACAAGACTCTGATAAGCACTTGTTGAACAGTTTTGAAAGGATAGACGACAGCTCCGGAGAGCACTTCTGCAAGACTATAACAGATATGTTGTCCGGGCCACAAGCAGTAGAAGAGTCTAAGCAGGAAATCAATTTAGATACAGAAGCTGAAGTGATACGGATGTCGAGCAATGGATCAACTTGTTTGACAGCTATATCAGGTAGAACGCAACTAGTGGAATCAAGAGATGATATTGATGAAAAGTTCTTAGCAAACAATTCAGCCTTGTTATTTGGTGAGGTGACAAGTCTGAACCATACAAAAGAGGTGGAATTAAAGACTTGCCCTTATTATTGATACTATTAAAGATTCTCCAGAAGTCACGACAGCCTAACTTTTGTTTTTTGGCTTTGGAGTTAGACAAAACCTTTTTACAATGGTTCCTAGCAGCAATAAACAGACGTCTGTTTTCTGGAGAATTGTTTTGCTGATAGATATGGAAGTAATGGTAGTTGTAAGATGTATAGGGGGATTTTGATGATAAAGAAGAATGAGATAATAGTTTTAGAGAGATCAAACCATGATTGGAAGCACCTAAGGGTGAATGTGGAGAAACTGAGCACTGACTAGGATCAGAAACAAGACATAAGTCGAGTAAAGAAGGTAAATGATTCAGGTTGTCTGGAAAGCGAGTTGGAAAGTTGACTATTTGATTTAGGGATTGAGAAAGGCAAAAGTTGTGGGTTTTAATGCCTGCAGAGTCACTGACACTAGAGCCAAGCCATTCAGTGTGATGAGCATTAAAGTCACCGACAACAACAATATTAGCTGATGGATAAAGAAAGAGGGCTTGATCAATATGATCAGAAATAATTTAATTACAAGATCAGAAATAAATTATTTACAAGTTAAATAAAAATTTTTCAAATGCCAAATTTTGATTTTATCAATAATTTTTGTAAAATTAGTTTAAATAACTTTTAAAATTGTTTAAATTAAATTTAATAACAACGCCATACTTTAAAATACAGAGAACACTTTGTATAAGCAACCTCTTTATAAGCAACATTCTTTATAAGCAACCTCTATACAAGCAAATATTTTTAGTTCAAATGCTCTGTATAAGCAACTTATTATTTTATTTGAATTAATTAAATATTTGAGTTAAGGCTAATTCAGAAGTAAAATCAGCTGTTCACAACAACATAACCTCAAATTATAAAAATTTTGCTATTGGAATATGTTGATATTTTTTGCTGCCAGTATTGAAGAGAATTTCTGTTAAATAGAATAGTTACTTGAATTTTATTAGTTTTAATTGATTAATAAATTAATCAACTCAACCTAAAAGTTGTAAAAAATTAACCTCAAACTGTAAAAAATAACCTTAAACTGTAAAAAATTCTATTATTGGAATATGTTTGTGTTTTGTGCTGTAAGTATTAAAGTGAATTTTTGTTAAATAGAATAGTTACTTGAATTCTGTTAGTTTCTGTTAGATAATAAATAAATTAATATTTTTGTGCTTCAAATTTAACCATATAATTTG